CACAGCTGGGATCTAAATTCGAGTTTGTGTTGAAGAAACGGCCTTAGATGCGGGAAACACCTGCATCCAAACACCCGCAGTCTACTGTAGTCTGGTGTTTTCCCATGAAGCATCTCAAACGGAGATTTGTCGAGAAGCACCTTTGATGGCAGTCTGTTAACAAGATGCACTATGGTTTGAATAGCATATGACCATAATTTAGTAGGCATGGAAGCTTGTGCAAGCAATACTAAAGCCATCTCCACAAGGTGTCTATGTTTTCGTTCCACTACTCCATTTTGCTCGGATGTATGTGGGCAAGTGAGGCAATAAATAACTCCAATTTTGCTTAATTCATCGGACAGAGGAAGAAATTCACCTCCTCAATCAGTTTGGAGAGCTTTGATTGTTCCTCCGAATTGCATAGCATCCAGCTTTTGAAATAGTCGAAAGGCAGTTAAAGCTTCAGCTTTTGTTCTTAGCAGATACAACCATGTGAAACATGTGGCTGCATCAACAAAGGAGACATAAAATCTGAAGTCATTAGACGATATGTGTGGAGGTCCCCACAGATCAGAATACATGAGCTCGAATGGTTTGTTGTAAACACTGTTCGAGCGAGGGAATGTTAACTTGTGACTTTTACCAAGGTGACAAGCAATGCAATTCTTATTAACATCATCAAGTGTTTTTACATTGATTTGTTTACAAATTTTAGCAAATGCGTCAAAAGCTGGATGTCCCAGTCTTCTGTGCCAGATTTATGAGGTTGTGGAGGAAGCTATAGCAGTTTATGCTTCAACCACACCACCTTTGCATTGAGTTCCACTTGCTTTAAAGGTATACAGTCCATTGCACTCTTCTCCTTGCAGCAAAATTGTCTTGGTGACTTCATCTCGAACATAACACGTGTTGGCATGAAATTCTAAGTATACACTATTATCCCTAGCAATCTTGGAAACAGAAAGCAAGTTTTTTGTTATTGCAGGAACATGCAGAATATTACTTAAGGCCAAGATTCTAGTGGAAGCGTGTAGTTCAGCCTTACCAACCAAATGGACTGGTAGATAGTCACCACTTCCTACCATCAACTTACCAGGGTTGTTAAAGGTCGAGAGATGAGTAATCGAAGCTACATTGGAGGTGACATGGTGCGTTGTACCGGAGTCAATTACCCACTGGTCTTGGCCAGCAGACGCTGCATGTGCTTGGCCTTTCACAGCACTCCTGTTATCATCAAGATGCGTGTTGCTATGGTTACAATATGTACAAGCACTTTTACCATTTCCATTTACGGTATAGTACGCTTTTGAAGATTCAAGACCAGACACATGATCATCAATTGATATGCCAGAGAAATCCTCATCAAATCTGTGCCAACATTGGCTGACAAGATGACCAATCTTGCTGCATAGCGGACACTAAACTCTAGGCCGTGTTTTGCCTATACCATGAGATCTCCCACGCGTGTAAGACGAGTTATTAGAACGAGACTGCTACCTTTCTCGGTTTTGATAGGAGTCAGCCTCGCCCTTGCCGTGTGCAAGGTTAGTACTGATAGGCAGAGAATGGGGGTTGGCAATCGAACCCTTCAAGCTGGGTTTCAACATCAACAAGCATCGTGCATATGTTATCAAGGGACAACATGTTACACATGGCAGATATAACAACAATGAAAGGTTGATATTCCCTTGTGAGGCCTTTGAGGACACTTGCAACATGCTCGGATATTGATACCAGACTTCCACAGGAGCTCAAGGCATCAATAATCTCTTTCACTCGTGTGAGGTAGGTTCTCATGTTGTCTGTTCCTTTCTTGAGAAATTAGAGCTTGTAATGCAAGATCTTAACGACAGTAGTAGAATAATTGGCAAAGAACTGCATGACTTTGTTCCACACTTGGGCATATGACTCAGCACCAACGAATTGTGGAAGTAAATGAGGGCTAACAGTTGAGAGCAACCAAGACGCCAACACACTGTCTTGAGCCAAGAACTCTTCATGTTCTTCATTGACACTCGCAACTCCATCTTCACCAACCACTATTTTTTGAGGTGGCAGCATTGTACCGTTCAACATTCTTTCAAGGTGATGACTCCTTACTGTGAGTAGGACTTGTTGCTTCCACGGAAAGAAGTTGGTTTCATCGAGGACGACGTTCACCCTTTTGTTGGTGAACACTTTAGTGTTTCTTGACAAGAACTCCATTAATGTGGCTGTTGAGGAGGTGCTGTGATTCATAGCAATATGAACAGCGAACAAAAACAAATCAGCAAGCCATAACAGCTTCAGCGAAAGGAAAATGGACCAGGACCTTTTTGGCAAAAGATACCATGTTGAAAGAGCTCAAAAACTCTTATAATCGACAAGAACAGTTTAGGAAAATGATAATACTTCTCTGTGTTTTCATTAATCATATACACTCCTTATATAGCAATCAAGATTACAAAGCCTTATCAAGAATACAAGCACTCAACTAATCGTAACTGCTCTAACAAACTCAAACTGATTAACAGCATTAATTGCTGCAACTTCAGAGACTGCAATCTGTTTCACACGTGGCTCAACATGAACGTTAGCTACTGCCGAGTCACGCACGAGCACATCTGCACGAGCACATCATCATGCTCATACTTCAACATGCACTGACATAGGCATCTCAACGCTTAAATGTATCATAGAGGACCCTTAATTCTTAAACTGGGAGGAGTTGTTTCAATGTCTATACATCCAACGAAGGATTCCCGACACTATTTTGGGTATTGAAAAAATGGAAAGAGGTGTCTCTATGCTTAAACATGTTGTGAAAGATATTGTCGTGTATGTTCATGTAAGCCTATAGTTTAGTTGTATTGTTATCTTACTTTTTACAAAGCACGCGATTTCTAAACTGGACAGAGTTATTTCCGCACTTATATTTGTGCCAAATTGAGGATTCTCGATGTTTTATTTCCCAAGTTTATGGTCTAGACGTTTTATTTGTCTTAATCTTTGTAATGATTAGATAGACAAATTTCAGAACAGACATAATTGTTTTTACGCCTGTATATCATATATATAGGATTCTCAACGTTTTGGTGGGAAGTCTGGGTAATTACAACATCTCAATGATTTGCAAATTTCGATTCCTATAGTCTTAAAAGGAGGCATCTAAACTCTATTAGGTTGGTAAAGAGATTACAATACAATATCTATAGTCAAAATGAGGCAGAGGCCTCTCTACACCTAGAGAGGAGGCAATTCGACACCTTTAGAAGAGTCTGGTTGACAGGCGAAGGCATATTCTCCCAGAAGCAACAGGAAAATCTAAATTTCTCCTTGATAAGCAAAGGAAATTTTTAAATTTAACGGAATTGTTTCCACGCTTATATATATATTCTGCGAAGGACTATTAACGATTTGGTGGGTTATCTTAATTTTGACAAAATTAAGGATGAGTTATATCTAGGTTAGTGTTCCTTCCCCGGAGGATTCTCAGCACTTTGTTTCTTAATTTTGGTAAGATTAAATAGGGATGAGTTATATCTAGGTTAAAGTTCTTTCTCCATGGAGGATTCTCAACATTTTGTTAGGATGATTCCTTATTATTTTCAAAGTAATATCGGACGGAATCATCTCTAGTCTCGTGTATATTTTCATGCGAAGGATTCTTGACGATTTTGAGAATGATTTTTGCATCTTATGAAGGTAAGGACAAGTTTCTTCGACCTTAAAAAAGATGTCTCTACTCCATTGGATCAATGAGAATGTCACAATATTGACAATGCTAGAGAGGAGGTCTCTTCGTTCCTTTGGCCATGAAGGAGGTAACGTGACACTCTCAAAAAATGTATGATTGAAGGGAAAAGGCTTCTTTGCCTCTATAGAAGCAATGAGTAGGTCTATATCCCTCTTGTTAGGATAAAGGCATCTAAACACTTGTAATAATAGCATAAATATTTATATTATTGAGCAGAGACATCCCGACACGCTTTAGAAGATATACGAAGTTGTAACAGCTAAAGTATGAGGTAACTCCTCTAGTATAATATCATGAGCTATGCGAAGTCATCTCAACGCTTTCGAGTGAAGGCATCTCGACATTATATGATGTGACAATAGAATAATTCCTATTGTCAAAACGGAGGCATCTCGACTTTATCAGTCGATATAGAAAATGATTATAATATTAGATTTTATTATAAATTTAGTTTTTATGTAATATAAATTATATATTATAAAAATAATACTTATATTAAAAACTTAAAAAATGAATTGAACCTAACTTGGGTTCGGATCTTGATTCTTAAAATCAGAATCCAATCCATATTTTAAACAAGTTTAATTCTTTTATCAAACCTATTTTCCAAACTTAATATCCTTACTAGCACCTTTTCAAAATTTTAAATCAACCTTCGAATTTAGATATATGAACAATTCAACCTTTGTACATCCGTAGTTTCTTTAGTAGTCTATGATAATTATAATTAATATTTGTTTATTTTTTTAATAAATTAACAATGCACACATAACCTATAGACACAACTGTTCGAACTTAAAATATTTAAAAAAAAACAATATTCCCTTATTACTAAAGTGACTTGATGAGTTTTGTACATCTATATTCTCAACTATGAATATCCAGTATAATTGAATGCAATTTACTTTAATAGTATAGTATAGATATATGAAGAGCCAAGATATAGACTTTATAGCAGGATATGATTTGTAGATCGAAGTTTAAGGGCTTTAACAGATTGGTAATTTACTATATTTGGTAAGTCAAGTCCCTGAACCGGTGTGAAAACAAACCGGCATTTGTTTTTTTACCAAATGAAAAGCACCCACACATTTACTATCTGCTCTCTTTGTTTAACTGACCAAAACTGAAATCCCACTTTTTAGGGCGAAATAAACTCAAACTTAACAATATAGGCTTGAACTGGTATAACCATGTCTTGTATATAAACCCTTTCTTGTACCAATGTTTAAACACCAACTACTTCATCTTTCTCAAATTACAAAAAAAGAATAAGTTTCCAATGTCTTCTCCAGCTGATGCGTTTTTCTTTACCTTTTTGTCTCTCTTATTAGCTTCTGGCGCTGCTAATTTAGACATTGGCAAGACCCTGAGCGGCTACTCGGAGTTCTCCGACTTCGTCAACATGCTGAACGAAACGGGCGTGGCGGATGAAATCAACAACAAGGAAACCGTCACTGTTCTTGCTGTTGCGAATGGTAATTTGGGTGGACTTTATGGGCAAACCACGGAAACAAAGAAGATGGTCTTGAGCGTGCATGTTGTGCTCGATTACTACGATGAAACCAAGCTCAACAAATCGCATTCCAAAACAGCAAAGATTCTCACCACGCTCTATCAAGAAACCGGGAAAGCCCGCAGTCAGGTAGGGTTCTTAAACATGACCAACACCGGCAATGGTACAGTGATATTTTCATCTTCATCTCCGAACTCTCACCTCGAAGCTCAACTTGTTAAACAAGTTACTTCAAAACCTTATGACCTTTCAGTGCTGCAAATCGATAATCTTATCGATGTAGCCTTGGTTTCATCTTCTCCGGCTAACGCTCCCGCATATGCTCCACCTCCGAGGAAGGTCCTAGCACCGGCTCCTACACCTAGTCTTGACGAAGTGGACAACGGAAAGTCTCCGTCTCCATCCAAGACTAAAGCAAGCGAGGCATCGCCGCCTGATGCTGATGCTGACGCTCCTGCAGGTGGTGATGAGAAAAAGTCTGGTGCATCTGTACCTTGTGGGGATTATTTTTTATCTACCATTCTTATGATTTTCACTTGCGCTTGTTTAGTGCTTTCGATGATTTGAGTGGATGAAACAAGAGGAAAAACTTAGGGTTCATTAAATATTTGAATTTTTTGTCTTGTTTTCACTCTGCTATGTGAAAGAGATTTTGAGGATGGTCGGGTAAACAAAGAGAGATTAGAGTGAGGAGAAACAGTTCAGAAAAGAAAAGAAAATCGAATTGGAAAACTAAATAAAAGAGGAAATGAATTCGGAAACTCCCTTTTCTTTATATTCTTTATATTGATTGATTTTTTCTCCATAGGAAGATAATTATTAAAAAAAATGTCTCGTTGAAAACCTTCCGAATTAGCTCAATCTATCGACAGAGCAACCACCATGCGCTGCAAGGCCATTAACTCTTGCCAGAGGATACGAGGCCAACCGACTGCAATTAATCCCACCGAGCTTTGAATAGATTAAGACGGGACAATCCTTGTTTTGCAAGCTGAACTGTCAAGACATTCCCTTCCCTCGAAACGAATACAAATTTAACGCGTGGAATCTTTTTCGATAAGCTATTAATCTCGTCAATATGATCCCACCATCGCCAGGGTCTCAAGGTCATGGAGCCAATCCAATTCAAGACTGTTTGTGAGTCTGATTCTACAACCAAATTCCAAATACCATACCATCCAATTGCCAGGAAGAGTTCCATCGCTATTTTAATTGCTGCCAAATCCGTTAGATCCGAATTCAATGCTTCAACAGGCCCTGAGATGATCACTTTTAGGTTACTGTTGTTGTCTCTTAATACCCCCCCCCCCACAACCTGCTGCCGACTCCTTGAGAGCTCTTGTCGCAACCAATTATTGGGCGGAAAACCGATTATCGACGTAGTTTGAAAATGATTATGAAAATTTATGGGTTGTTTTTTAAGGTGCAGATAATTTTAATAAAACATTTTTGTTTTATCAAAAATACCTAATTTTAGTCTGCGAAATCAAAAATCGGGTTCGAGAGTCAGTTAGGCGTAAGAAAATATTAACACACTCACAGCTCCCAAAATTCGTACCTAGTCAATTACCTTATATTTTAAAATTGGAAATTGTGAGTTTGAAATTTTATTTAATTTTAAAATCCACTATGTATACAAAATTTAAAAAAAAAAAGATGTTGAATTGCCAAGACCAATAATGACCACCCCAGGCACAAGCGGAAGCTTCGTTTGATCCAAATAAATGGACATTGCCTTAATTATTTAAAAATGAGATGCACGGTTTTGAAAATGATGTCAATTTACTTCGGGGATTAATAGTGGTCACCCCTAAGCAAAGATAGAAAATACACTATAAATCTCCTAATAAATTAACATTGTCTTGATTTTAAAATCAAATGTAATCAAACAATTTATTATTAAACCTAATTATACTAGTGGATTAATTGAGGCAATTTTCTAACTTAGAGTATCAAATTATGAAATTTAAAGAATTTAGGGGACTAAATCTAAAAATATAGGCTTTAATATTAATCCTAATTTATTTTAATCAATTATTAAATTGAATACTTGAAATGCACCCTCAGACGTTAATGTGAAGGTCAAATCAAGATTCTCCTAAATTAAAGGACTATAAAGTGAAATTAAATTAAAGTGGAGGTTCTAATTATTAATCCTAATTAATTATGACAATTGAATAATCAATTTGGAACCTCATGCATTAATGTGTGGACCGAATCGAATTATTCACCTAATTAAGAAGTTTAAGGACTAAATTGTAAAGAGTCTAATTTTAAACCCTAAACCCTAAAATCTAAATATGTAATAAGGATTAAATCTAAAACTAAGCAATAGAACCAGGACTACATTAAAATACAATAAATTAGAAGGCATAAATTTAAAAGATTGAAAAATGAATTGATATGCCAATAAATTGATAATACTATTTTTTATTTATTAATAACAAAATTAATTAAAGGACTAAAATAAAAAAATAAAAGATTTAAGGACTAAATCTAAATAAACATAAATAGAAAAACAGTAACCAAACAGAAATAAATGAAAATAAAATATTCAAATTAAAACAAATTTAAAAATGAATCTAGTGACCAAAAATAAAAACACGACTAATTTTTAGTGGCATAAACATAATTGTACCCTAAACTTTATGAAAATTAAAGAAAAAGACAAAGTAAAATTTACATAATTAGTACAAGAAATTTTAACTAAAATAAAAACAAACAAGATTAGGAACCATAATATAAATACGCGCCAAAATATCAATGGCTTAAGAACGAATTCCCCTATTCTTTTTCTACACGTGAGCCCAAACTTAAAGACCTCATTTTATTTATTTATTTATTTATTTATTTATTTTCATTTGAAAACCCTAATCAAATTTAAAAAAAAAACATCTCATCTCTCTCAAGGTTCCATGGCCACCAATCTTAAAAATCCCAAAGTTTCGTTGGTCACCGTTCATCGATGATGGCTCTCTCTGACCTCCCTACTTCAGCGATACCAACGAATGAACCTGGTAAAGACCTAAATCCTCTTTTATTTGATTTGAAATCCCCACAAATTTCTAAAATTCATTTCTAATCCCTTCTGTCACGGCCGTCTTTCGGTTGAGCCCAGAATTGGGCTTCGACTTGAAATAATGGATTTAGAGTCGCCACCGATCACTTTAAAAATATTTAGGTGGATCGGACACCATCTCACCTGATCTGCGTTTTACCAGAAATGTATCGGGTTCGAGAGTCGGTTACAGTCAAGGAAAGATTAGCGCCCTTGTACTGCCCTTTCGGTATCAATTAATCTGTCAGTTGTCTTAATTGCAAAAATTGAAATTAAAATTTAAAACATCGATTCAAAAAATTACATTTGATCGATTGAAATTACTACTGAAAAAAGTAAAAAATATTTGATTCAAACATACCCAATTTCAACAATATGCATCAAAATTATTATTTAAATTCTTAATTAAAACCAAGAGAGAGAAAATTATCAAATCGCCAAATTATTTCCCTAAGGCCCAATTATGAATAAGGATAATTAATGAGGGTGTATAGGTGTCAAACTTAAGGCCAATTAATAAAATAATGAATTTCGTGACGTTAATCATTTATAAAAAACAATTAATAAGTTATTAAAAAAAATTGTTAATCGAAAAATGACCGTAATTAAACCGACTTAATGACATAAGAAAAAAAATCTAATTATGTGAATTAATAATTCAATTAAGCCGATTAGCCTAATTAAACTAATTAGTAACATAATCAAATATGAACTTATAACACTAATATTTTAATTTAAATTAATTTAATCAATTAACAAATTATTAATCAACTATAGAAGTGAAAACGTAAACAAATGCCATAAACGACTCTAACCAAATCAATTAACCCTCTCAATTAATTTAATTAATACCTTAATAGTCAATTCAATCACATTAAACCATGGAATTTTCTACCAATTATGTAAAGAAGAAAAAGCCACGTTCATTACCAATTAATAATCCAAATCAAATCACGATTATTGGCAAACTAATTAAGCTTGACTAATGTTCAATTTAACAATAATACCATAACAGCCAAAATTAAGAAAAAGAAATTCAAAAATGCTGGCCAAGCAAAGATGTAATCACATTTGATTCTAAACGAATTAACCAGGGAATGCAAAACCATATATCACGATTTTCATGCCATACTTAATAAAGGTAATTAAGGTTTTAATCATTTCAATTCATCCCATAAAAAACAAAGCCAACATTGAATTTAATCATCCAACTCAACCATAGAAACAAAGCTACGTATATTACCTTCTTCAAGTCTAGAAATTCGTCGTTGAACGTTCGTTCGCCTGAGATTTGAAGGCTCGCTTGCTGTCTTGATGCTTTGGCGTTTTACTTCTATTGATTCTTGGAACTTTTTCTCTCTTTTCGTAGATCTCTCTTCTTAAAAATTCGTGTTTTTTTGCTTATTTTTCCCTGGAATATTGTTCCGATTTTTCTTTTAAAAATGGCTAAGGTTGTCCTCCCTTTACAAAGTAGAATAAACCCCTTTACATACTTAAAAAATAACTAAAAAATCTAAAATAAAAATCTCTATTTCTCATTTCTATTTTCTTTTTTGTTGACGAGGCTCGATTCTGGAAGCGTACGGCCGTGTGACGTATTTTTGGAAACCTTTGGAATCTAGGTGTGTTAAAAAAATAACTGTAACCATTAATCAGTATAATCAACATATTTAACAAGTTAATTAATTGTACCGTTAATCAATAGTGATTAACTAAATTGTTAAAAATGATTATTAACAATTAATATTATGATTATAATTATGAATTTTAATAAACTGGTTAACTTTTAATAAATTAAATTTCTAATTTATTGTATTTTTACATAAACAACTTAATATAAGTTTCTATTATTTATAATAAGTTAATTATAGATTAATATGTAATCGAATCGTTAATAATGATTAATTATTTTTTAATAATTAAGTTACAATTAAAAAAATCTTATAATCGTATAATAATTAATTCTAAACGGTACGACTAACGGATTGGAAGGTTAGTGACGAGGGACCACCAGTGAACAGTTACTGGTATGGTAGGCAGTGGTAGTTGGAAACATAGTCTAGCTAGGGTTTCATGATGTTGGGTCAATCTGGTCTAAGTGGGCTCCATTAAATATAGTAGGTTATCTAATGATGGGTTTGTTTGTAATTAGGTTTGGTATTTGTCAAGTGGACACTGTTTGGATTTTAATTTTAGATTTGGTTTAATGGTTTTTTGAATAATTGGTTTTTTGGTTTAAGCCCCTTGACCTCTTTATCCACAAAGCAGTTCAACATTCTTGAATTTAAAAACTAAATAATCATTTAATCAATTGAGAGCCCCCACCATCTATTCACGTGTAATTTGAACTAATTCGATATGGATTTGTTTCCATGTAACTCGAGCTAATTTGGAATTTTCACGCCAACGATCTTCAAATTTTTCTTTGGTAACTTTCAAAATGATTTGAATTGCCTAAACAAAATTAGGTATTATAATTGTCTCTCTTTGCTCGTTGTTGTGAAAACAA